AAACATGACAGTTTAGTCTGATTGGATTTTAACACTTTCATACAAACACCACAATTAGACATATTTACTATTTGGTTGACTTAAATTTTCAAAAAAAAAACACAGCAATTTAGCAAAAACAAATTAAATTAAAACTATATTAAACACAAAAACGAACTGCATTTGTAACATATGCGTGCACTATCATTGAACTTCGCACGGGAGCAGGAAACTGATAAGAGGTCCGTTCCGTCTGAGTGCTGACTCATCACTGACCTATATTATTTATATAGACTTATTCCTTACCTTTTATCTTGGATCGCAGGAGGATCAGAAAGTGGATACAAGAAAGGCAGCAGAAGAACACACGAGGCAGACAGAGGTACAAGTCTATGGGTGAGCTGGAGGTACGACCGAGGGAGATGGAGGGGATGCTGGGTAGCACCAGTGTCGGACCTAAAGCTAAGAGAAACACCTCGTCTATGGTGCCGCAGGTGAACGCAACCGTCAAGTATATGTTCAGCATGCTTTTACAAATTGAACAGTGTCGCCGATTTGGAATGACGATAGTAAGATTGAACCACTTTTCACATTTAATATTAATACAGTTTTCTCCCTGTGTGATAGGCTTTCGCAGTTGATAAAGGTAGATCCTAGTCTTCAGGTGACTATGTAGATGAAGATGAAGTAGTTACTGACATTGCAGATGTGATACAGCACTTAATACCAACTATTCACTAGTGTTAGCGCCTTGGGACTGCTGTGTCGCTTCCGCAATGACGTCAACTATTCACCTACTTCATCTACGTGGTCATATCCTGAAGACCAAGATCTACCACTTACATTTGACTCTTGTTAATCTGCTCCTTACGGGATCAAGAATGTAAAAAAATCATTGGATTGTCAAAAATAAGCACTATGACTTAGAAACGTCAAGTAATGAAACCTTGTTCTTGATTGTTGGGTCATATAGCTCAGTTTAGACATTTAAAAAAAAAATCTCATGTCTAATAAAAATGTTTTAATAAAACAACTTTTTTATTTACTCATGTTAACTCATGTGAATGGATTTCATAGACCTGAAATGGTTGAAATCTATTCAATCAGGCTATACAGTAGACTGCCTCATATCCGGACTCCTCGGGACCGAGGCCAGTCCGGATAGCGGATTTTCCGATTAAACCGACGTCCCCCAAAAACTCGTAAAAACGGACCGTTTAAATGATATTTGACTTAAATTTAGGAGAGCATTGTATTTAGACATGTGATCACTGGTCTCAAATCTATTCCACAAGAACTGTTGTTTCAGTACCGCCCACTTCCTGCCGATCTAGTCCGGTTAAACCAAATGTCCTGATAAAAATTGTCCGGTTATAGAGATGTAATTTCCGCTGAGTGTAGTCCGGTTAAACCAATGTCCAGTTAAAAGGTGTCCCAATAAGAGGGAGTCTACTGTAGCAGTATTTTGTATCCATAGTTGTAAAATTGTTTGTGAAATGTATTTAATGTTTTTACTACTTGCGCATTTTGATCAAATCATTATAGCTGAAATCACAGTTTATTCATTCATTAATTTTTAGACCAACACAATCTGAATTCTGTTATTCCTTATTCCTATTTTGCTTAATTTTTGATCATAACAGCATGTTCTTTTTCTAGACAAAATTTGAGTTTTTATTGTAAATTGTAACTATTTTTTACCATTACAGACAGAAATAGACACTTTAAGACAGACTCCGCAAGCAGTCAAATCTTCTTGCGCGTCTCCTCCTCGTAATTCCGGCCGCAAGGAACGCAAGCAGAACACAAAGGCAAGAAAGCAGCTGTTAGCCAATCAAGGTGCGTTCTCGTTCTGTTACTACTTGAAACGTATACTGTAAACACTATGGAAATAATCTCATAAATGTAAAATGTAGAACTTTAGCGTGTTCCAGAAAGACGGGGATAGTACTGTGGTTGAACCAACACGAGTCTGCCAAATTTGATTTTGTATTGTTTTTTAATAGTCAGTTATTGTACCCGAGTTATTGGTGTTATTTTATTCATTTGTCCACAATGACTGTTTAAAATATCATAAACTAATTATAACAAAAAATTAAATTCAAACAAAGAAGTTGTTGATGATACTGTTACCAGTCTTTCAAATGTACATTCTTCTCTCTGTCAGTATTTTCTGTAGATGTGTTAGCTAACTGTTTTTAAGCCCAAAAAGATAAAAAAAGATAGAGATAAAAGATAAAAAAGATAGAGTAGTGAGTCGGTGGCTCAGCCGGTAGCGTCGCGGACTTCGGGCCCAAGGCAGCGATGTCTTGGGTTCGGATCCTGGTCACTGCCGATAACATTTTATCAGTACAGTTCACCTTTGTACTGTACCGGCTCACTCCTTGCTTTGCTGCAAACGTTCCACGCACGGGCGCTTAGTCTATGTGGACGGGCAAATGCAAGGTTAAAAGAGGCCGCCAACCTCTTTAAAAAAAAAAAAAAAAAAAAAGATAATGTATGGACCATTATGAGTAACAAATAAAAATGTGAATTTAGAACTACTAATGCATGCTTAACTAAAATGAAATAATTTTTCATGACTTTGAAACTTTGAGTTAGATCACACAACTTCATAAAACTTAAAACTGAATAAAATTACTGTAACAATCCCTCATAACTAGAGATGGAGGGGATTGTATTTTATTTTGGGATAAGAATTTTATACGTGTGCAACAAGAAAAACTTATGTTACGGAAATCCACATCTTCCGGCATTGTGGAGACAACATTGGTTTCTGCAAGTTTAGTGATATTGCGGACTTCTCCAGCGATCGCAGAGACATAATGATCATTCCGTGCAATCACACCGAAATTGCTGACGGTTTGAAAAAAAAATCCTGTCCCAAGAAAATCTTAAATTTAATGTAGGCTAGTTCTGCTAAAAATTAGTAAAATATTATTGTTGAGCAAATTTCCCAAAATGTTGAGACTAGTTCCATCTCTAGTTCAAATATTATACCATTAGATGTTCAAGTTTGTTGATTTTAAAAATTTAATTTGGGTTTTTTCAGATGGAGAAAGATCCAAGCCAGTCAAAAATGGTACTAAAAAGTTACCGAACGACCCACTGCCACTTGACTTTAAGGCACCGTCATGGATGAACTTCAAATTCAATCGTCAAGCGATTCTGCAAACATTGGGTTGATTGTGATCTAGAAAATTTCCATTTGAGGTATTATTAATTTATATTATCCAATAAATTTTATTATTCTAAACACATTTCTCCTAGAAAATGTTGTCAATTTGAAATTATCTACACTATTGTTGAACAATTCTGTTTTTATTTAGTATTTAATCTGCACTTGTTTTAATCATATTTTAAAGGTATTATAACATATTACCTTAAAACGGGAAATATTTTATTATTATAGATTCATTACAATGGAGGTGAATTAAAATGATTGTTGGAACAGTTATGTTATAATTGTTTAATTTAGTCTAGTTGAAATATAGCAATCATTGTTGATTTTAGGAAGACTGATTTGTATTTATGTTTTATAGTTTTTATACAATTTTGTAAAATAAATAGTAGATACAATTTGTGTTTTACATAAACTCATTTATTGCACCTTCTCTTGTTGTTAGTGAAATCTTTTATCACATGAACTTATAAAAAAATTACATTTTGAACTCCAAATGGTAAAATGCTTCACAATAGATTCCTAAACTATTAAAGTAGATTCCTCGTCATTAAGGCGGTTTCACACTGGCGTCCGCGGACGGATGAAATGATTCGGATGGATGCTACTCGGGCCCTTCACTTTGCGAGCTACGTTTAAAACGTCCACTCATTCGCGCATGCGCATAGGGAAGTTGGCCATTCCTACTACAATCATAGATTAAACATACTTCCTCTTACAACTCAGTGGAGGTGTGCAAAATGTCTGAGCCTTCTGTCCCATGGTGTCAACCCGGATTCTCTGTTCCGTGGCTTGATTCAAGTAGTGATGATAGTGACGACGAGGTTGTACTTTTGTAGCCTACTCATTATCAAAAAGGAGAAAACGGGGAGAAAGTGAGTGTGGGTAAACCACACTCGTCCGGTAAACACTTACTTTCCGTACTAGTAACGTGTATAGGCTACTAATACCCTACAAATCATTGTAATAATGATTTACTGTACAGTAATTCGTATAAATATAGCCTACATGGTTATTGGTTAGGATACTTACTATCTCTTTGGAGTGTAGTCGCAATTTCCAACCAAGCTTTATCTTTCTCTTGTTGATCCCTATAAATTTCTATAGTTGTATCCCAGATAACTGGTTAGGCACGGACGGCCTCAATTAATTTAGCTTTAACAAACAAACAAGGGAGGACACAAAACAACAACTAGATGAACACTATGACTGTAAACACAAACTACTAAACACTGTGATGCGAGTGACACATGCCTCGCTGAGAGCTACACGTGGTTTGGAGCTCAGTCTGCGCATGCGCAAGGGCGTGATCGTCCGCGGACGTTTTAGAAAAATCGCTCCCAGAGCGATTCCGCCAAATCGTCTACGGACAAATTTCTGTATCCGCGGATGGACGCTACGTTTCAATGGGCGATGTGAACGGTCCCATCTGATAACATGGGCAGCGATTTATTTTCGCATCCGTCTGCGGACGATTTAAAGTTCTGTATATATTATTTTCTATAATGGTTGCAGTAATAGTGACCATTAAAACATGGTTCAACATAGTTGTTAAACCATTCAAACCATTGAAGTCTCATGGTATCTGATTGAAGTAGGTACTTTGATGAACAATTCCAGGTCTGTGTCCAACAGAGTAGAGGAGGTTTATAATTAATTAAATAGTCAGCTTTGTACGAATCCTACAGTACAGGCTGGCCACATGTGTGTGCAAAATCCTGTGTGTGAAAACTTATCAGAGGACCGTGTAAACAACTACCAAGAGGTTTTCGATTAAGGAAAGTTTTCTAGGTTACTTTTTAGGAAAACACTGTGTAAGAAATATTTTTTTTATTTCCATCTAAAATAATATCTTTGGTTCATTTTATATTCAATATTTGTGCACTAGATTAATTGTGCAGTGTAACACGTAGGTATAATCTAAATCCATATTCTAAAAATTATAAAGGTAGGCCTAATCAACTAAGACTAACAAAACAACATAGCTTTGTCCGTAAACAACTGTTGCTACTTGAAAATTAATGTCTTAAAAAATATACTATTGTATTATTAGGCCTGGAGGCTAACATTTAAAGCTTAATCAGTGTACATTTAGATTTCCTAGCTAACTATAAAATATATTTAATAGTTTACAGCCTTTTTGGAATCATTTATAGTAGAGTTAAAAATTTTTAACAATGTCTTTGATATTTTACGGATACATAACCTGAATATATTAAATCTAATAAAATAACATAACAACTTTATTTTAATAACACCTTATTGTATCTAGAGGAACAAAACCAAACATTTTTATTTTGTGGTAATACTTTGTCATTACTTCACTGCTGATAGTATTATCTTAAAAGTATAAGTTAAAAGCATTCCTTCCTGATTACAAAATCCAGTTTGAAAATAACTTATCAACATAAACGGCACAAACTGGTGCAACTTATATCAACATTAAACTTTTTAGTTTACGTTTTATAAAATACGTAACAACTACGGCAGTAAATTATATGTAAATGCAGTTCTGGTACTTCTGAAAATAGACACCAATATTTACATTACTATTACTAATTAGCAATAACACCAATATCTTAATTAAATACTGTAACAAATAATTAAGTTAAAATTAAATAATTCAATAGTTTCTGTTGATAACTGTAAAAACCAACATGTCCAATTGAAGAAAGGTCAGTAAAGACTTATTTGAGCTAGATGTGTTCATTCATATAAAGATACTTCAGGAGTAGATTGACACCAATATTTGTTAAACATTTCAGTTTTTTACAACCAAGATTGAGTTATTTGAGTAGTTTTGTTTATTTTTTTTAGACCAATTTATGATAGGCAAAATTATTCAATTATGAAATTCATAATTCTATTCATTATTTGGGAGTGAACTGTGAATTAAATATAAAATATGTCATTGGTTCTCTTTGTCTATCGTAGGATAACATTTTTTATAAAATCATTCCATTTATGCTAGTACAAAAAATCCATCAATAGTACCTGTTGATGATATGTAACCGTTATCATTAATTTTTCAGTTTGCGATACAAGTTGGGCTATAATTTACCAAAAGGAAGCCTGTATGAATGTTAATGTCATTTGATCAGTCGGTGCTCTCAACCATACCGTTTAACAAGATTCTTGAAGAAGAAACTAAGATTCATTACAATTAAAATTAAACAATAAAAAATACAACTCACAGAAATTGTATTATTCAATTAAAAATATTCTGTTTTATGTTGTATGTCCAAAATGACTTGCTCTTATATTCATACATGTGTTACTCTTACTCTTACTCCCAGGGCCATTTATATCGGAGGTGATATTTGGCCGCACCAACAAATCCTCGCCAAGTCAACCGGTCTTTCGCATCATCCTCCGTTGCCCCAATTCTCTCCAAATCTTCTTGCACTTGCTTCCACCACCTCTGCTTAGGTCTTCCCCGGGGTCGTCTTCCTGTAGTGTTTCCCTTTAAAACTCTTCCCAGTCTACAATCTTCATCTCTTCTGTCAGTGTCATACATGTGTTATATGCTTCTAAATGGGTTAACGGCAAAGTAAAAAAAAAATAGATTCTTCGATTCTTGTATCTAAATAAATTCTTAAAAATTAACTTACTGTGTAACACAACATATTTAAATAAAATTAGCAAAGATTAAACACTAAAAAACACATATATAATTGTTTACTGTTAACATGATGTGTGGTAACTTTAATAATTATTACTATATTTTTTGCTATTGAATTAAAGTGGTAACTATCACACACTGTTATAGGCCTACATCAATTTTACAGAAATAAATTTATAATCTATACAAATAAATATTCAGTATAAAGCCAGGATATTTAAACGACTCAACCTTAAATGTAAGGACATGTTTCACTGTTACCAATAATTATCAATGATTAACGTTTCTTTCCGTATTCCACCATAACTTTAACTTTATCCTTACATATTAAAAACTTGAGACCCTATAAAATATTTTACTGGGGTTCTTTCAAGGAAGTCTATTTTCATGATTGAATTTGTAATAGATGTTTGCCGTATGAAGAACTTATATTAGCCACTTTTTATCCTCCCTCCCGGTTTAAATTTATTGTATTCTGGTTTAAGTCAATGCCTAAAAAAATGTTCTAAGTATATGGTTACAGATTTGTACAACTAACCTACTTGCACTGCACTCTACATTCTAAGTTACCAGTGCTGGAAACTTTATACTCATTCCTATTTAAATTTTTACAGTTTTGTTTGACACTTTACACAAACCTTTTTCATTTGCACTAGACAATGTTGCTTAAGTATTTTGTTTTAACTAGACTTTCCTTAATACAGGGTGCGGAAAAATAACCGATCTATTTTCTGCAGCGCACTGTTCAACGACAGGTCGTCTGAGGTTGGTGGGGGTTGGAAAGCCTACACAATGCTATTATCTCTATTATCTGTAGTCATAGAGCAGTGGTCACCTGAGCAACGTGTGTTTGTTATTTAGTCGTTTAAAAAAAGTAAAGTTAAATTGACTCGATAACTAACACATGTTGCTCAGGTGACCACTGCTCTATGACTACAGATAATAATCGTGTAGGCTTTCCAACGAGCCTACCCCCACCACTTTCAGACGACCTGTTGCTGAACAGTGCGCTGCAGAAAATGGATCGGTTTTCTTTCCACACCCTGTATAACTTCCAAATATACATTCCAATAAAATGCATTGGCGTTTGATACGTTATGTACAAATGTTACCCAAGTGAAGGACGAGGTATAATTTAGTAGCCTATTAATTGACTTATTTCTATAAAAAAATATCAAACATTTCCCAGATTAGGGATTTTTCCAATAAGAAATGTATTTCTCTATCTGAGAGGCCCATACTGTTTATTTTCTAGATAGCTTGACCTACTCATAAAGCTGGGTTTGAGCCATTGAGTCGTGATATTACACAGCTAGAAGCATTTGGTGATTGACAGGATTTGAACCAGACGGCTTTCAGACATACCGGTGTGAGACATATGTTCCGCTTAACCATTAAATCTCGTCTTACTCCTTTGCTTTACATTCCGAGTGAGTTATACCATTGACTGTTCACAGTAATGACTTCCCATTAAATGTAAAAATTTGAAGCCAAAAAATGTGGTGCAATCTGTTGAGATGGTCTACCAACTGACAAAATTCTGTGTCAAGTAATGGTTTTTCAGAGATCGTAATTTCATTTGCAAATATATGTTTGATTTGAAGGAAATAACAAGAATCCTTCAAATCGACACATTTTGTCAAAACATGCATATTCTATCTTAGAACTTGATTTCACATCCACTTCATAGTGGTGTGATTCAAAAGTGATTATCTTGACAAAATAGTTTGGAAAACGTTTGTAAAACCAGTACTGAAAGATCAACGTCCAGCAAATAAAGTAGAGAGACATTTTAACTAACGCCTTTGCCTCATAGATTTTAGCCTAACTAAACTACGAATGTTAATCGCAATGCTGGTTTCATCTGATTAACTACAATGGAACCTCAATAGCAAGAAACCCCTGATTACAAGTGCTATTTTCAAATGCCCTTGATTTGGTATTACCCCTGATCACGTTTCTTTGCAAACCTTGATAAGATGCCAAGTTTGATTACAAGTCATATGACTTGTTATCAAGGTTATACTGTATCTACTTCATGATCTACAACAACTATGTTTTGTTGTAAAAAAGAACTATACCATTGAAATTCATCAATAATCTAAGTCAGATTACTCCAAACCTGTCAAGGCTCTCGGCCAAATTACTATATAAGTTAATTGTAAGTTGAATAACTTAAGTGAATTCCCTTAACTCATCTCTTCGGAAGGGTGTGAAATTTAAGCATATTTCACTAGAGAACTTAAAATTCAAATATTCTGACTTCCAAATTCCCATCACTGGTGAACTGAGGTTTACTTTTGAGTTGTGGTTTTCCAAGACCAAGACATTTATTGGGGCAGCTCCTCCTCGTCTACGATAGGTTTGGTGTCCTCAGCTACCGACCTCCGCTTAGCTGCTCCAATGGAGCCCCAACGGATTTTTCCTGCCTCCCCGGAGCCGAGCAGAACGGAGTATGAAGTAGCAGTGTCGTTCTCCTTGCTGTGATGAATCCCGTATAAAAAGTAGACTAAGAGACCTGTGAATATCAAGTTATACATTATATTCATAAAAAGAAGTCAAGATGTTCAGTATCCAACTGAGCTAGTTTGAATCGGAGACCGACTTCGTGTTCCTTACTTAAGTTCCATTCAAGCGGGTTTTCTAGGGGCGATTAGTCATATCAGAGTATTCAAAAACATATATAGTGAATGAAAATTGATACTCCCACCAAGGTTGAATTACATTCTGTGAATAGTTTTCTTTAAGAAGGCAGTTTAACCCTGTATATTACTGTTGCCAGTTGACAGATGTCTATGTAGAAGTGTTTGGATGTAGAAAATGTGGGACATGACTTAGTGAGTGTGAGCTAGCTAACTTGGCTGCCACGATGCTCAACCTTAATTTACAAACAACCCTTGTATACTTAAAGTTGAACCAAACGGAACTTACCAAACGCCATCCAGATCATGAACCTGAGCCATGTCAGAGTGTTGAGATGCACCATCAGTTGAATGTTGGAGAGGATGCTGATCGCAGGGATTAAGGGGACCAGGGGAACTGCGAAGCCGAGACCGTTCTTGTTCTGCTCATGAGCGTGGATGATGACGATACCTGAAAGAATTTCAGTTAGAAGAATGAAGGATTTTTTGAAAGTTCACGCTTCGACTAGAAACTTGGATTGGATACTCAAGCTTAAGCTGTAGCCAGTTTTATGAATATGAAATAATTTGATTGAGCCATTAACAGAGTATCCTGCTAAAAATACTGCTTTCTAATTATACACAGAGTTTTTAATCATTTCAAACAGAAAGGCCTACTCACTAATCAGTGTAATCCATGGTATTTTTATTTCCCCATCAACTATCAAGCAGATTGAAACACTAAGAGAGAGGCAACACACTTTGTGGGGCTCATTAAACTATTTTCTCTTTGAGAAAACTGACTAAGCTGGTCTGTGACTCAGTCAATAACACAGAACTGTGGAATCATAGCAGCTGTTTTGTAATTAACTCTTTATATTTCTGGTTATTTCACTGCTACTCACAAGCAACGAGGACAAATATGAAGAACACAGTGATCAGCACCGTCCACCAAGAGTTGAGCTGCTGTTGCTGATTGGTCCAGTGAAGATGGAGACACAAAGCAGCGCAGAAACAGCTGAAGATGAAGACGCAAGCGCTGACTGCCGCACCCGGCTCACACCGGCCGACGACCGGCTCTAGCCACGAGTAACCGGTTCTCAACCGGCCTGCCGGACCAACGCCAAACTCTATCACCTGGTAAGTCATTGTAAATTTTGGATGTTAGTGTAAATCATTTAGTATCTGTAATGTTTATTCGTGTTGGTACGCTAATACTTCCATCCATTTGTGGTACATGAAAGTCTACATGCATAATATATGTAGTTTTGAAGTATAATCTAATTTTGGACTTAAGTAATAGGATATTTTTTCAGAGAATCTTCCATTTGTATTGAAGCCATCATAGGGTTATTTAAGGATATACCTTAATATTACAAGGACATTACTTGGCTGGCCTTTCTCATAACCGCTCTTCCACTTTTGTCAAATTCAAACTGACTGTCTTTTCCTGTAGATTAAATTTACAAGAGATCAAATATCATGTAAGGTACACAGTTCAATTGGTACACTCAGTCGTTACTTGAAGTGCTCCAATGTAAACTAACCACCTCTAAAAACAATGAAGAGATGATTTACCCCGGATGACGGAGTCCCGACCTCGCTAAGGGAGCTGTCTTCCCTGAGCAGCGGAGTGACCTCGGGCCTGTACCTCAGTATGATGACAGATGCGCTGACGATGGTGTAGGCCAACAGTGTACCGATGGACATAAACTCCACCAGCTTCTCCAAGTCAAAGAACAGCGCGATCAAAGCACTGCTTATACCCGACACTGCGAGGTTGATGATCGGAACCTGCATTTCATTTCATTTCATTTCATTTCATATAACTTTATTCATTAAAGTACAATACATAGATACAGGAATGGCGTCAAGAGTAATTTAATAAAACTAACTAACTAAAATACTAATCATTATCATGCATGGCATAATAACATACCATCAATATTAATAGCTTTTCAGATCAAATAAATTAAAACAAGCAGTGCAATATGAAAGTTTATAGGCCTACATGAAAATATAAAAATTAAAAATATAGATAAAATTATTTTAAAACCAAAAGTTTCAATTGATATGAAACAGAGCAATTAATAACTTAAAGAACTAAAACTCTTCAAAGGAGTACATAGCCTTGTTAATAAGAAACTTTTTCAATTTTGATTTAAATTTATTTTTGGAAGTTTCTAATTTGATTTCTTTAGGAAGTTTATTATAAAATTTGGAACCGGCATATTTAGGTGTCTTCGTAAAAAGTTGCAGAGTATGTGAGCTTGTGGCCAGGTTTTCTCGATTTCTAGTGAAGTAATTGTGATAGTCTCCAATAAGTTGTAATTCATTAAATCTGTCCTTTACTGATAATACTGTTTCATAGACATACATTCCATAAACAGTCATAATATTCTCAGTTTTAAAATATTCTTTGACTGAAGTTCTGCGTTTTAAATTGCACAAAATTCTAATAGCTTTCTTTTGCTTTTTTAGAATTGATTTTAATTTTTTCTTTTTTGCTGCACCATAAAGTGAAACTCCAAATGATATGATTGAATGTATGTACGAAAAATATATAATTTTTAAAGTTTCCTTTTCACATAGGGGTTTTAATCTTGTTAGCGCATAAAGGCCAGATGAAATTTTAGAAAGTAACTGATCAATATGATGATTCCACTTCAAATTTTCATCAATTTCTAATCCCAAGAATTTAATGTGGTCTTTATTTTGAATTATGTTGTTATTAACTACAATTTTTGGCAGATTTTGCGGTTTAGTTTTTCCTGCTTGGAAACACATAAAATTAGTTTTATCTGTGTTCAAACGCAAATTATTCGAATTAAAAAAACTGTTAAGTAATAATATATCAGAATTGGCCTTGGCTTCAAGTTCAGCATAGGTTCCTGCGGCTATTTTTAAATTTGCATCATCAGCATATAGGCAAAGCTTGCTAAAATCACTGAGTTGAGGAAAATTTCTCAAATAAAAGATGAATAAAAGAGGGCCTAGGATCGATCCTTGGGGCACCCCATATTTTACTTCCCGAGTACGAGAATTGTAAGAAATTTTATAATTTTTGTTATTACAGTGACTCAGTTCTACGTATTGTTTCCTATCAAAAAGATATGACTTGAACCAGTTCAAAGCAGTACTATTTAGTCCACTACTACTGAGCTTTTAAAGCAACAACTCATGAGAAATTGAATCAAAAGCTTTACTGAGGTCCATGAACAACCCTACCACTTTAGATTTACTCTCTAAGCTATCAACGATGGATTCAATGAAAGCTGTGGCAGCTGTTATGACAGATCTGCCACTTCGGAATTAGTGATGGGCGATGCGGACGCGTATCGCGATACAGCGATACGATACGTATCGGAAAAAAATATCGTATCGCCGTATCGAATCGGGCGTCTGTATCGCGATACGCGAATCGTATCGTCAAAAATATCGAAAAACGATACGTATCGTATCGTTTCCTCCCCCCTCCCCTACCTAACCTAGAAACGGCAAATTTATTAAGTACCTGGGGACCGAGCTTTGCTCAGGGAAAATCATTAGTTTGCTTTGAAAACACTAAACAGTCTTAAGTTTAGTATTTCAGATACATTAATCCATTCCCACACTACTCCACACTGCTCGCCTTTACTACTTCCTTCACAACTCCCTACGTCTTGGACCTGTTTCCCTTTCCTTCCCATATAGCATTTTAGGATTGCATATACATTAATGTAATGCAATTGCCACAGACAGTTGACAGTTCCCACACACTGCACTGCTCTGCTAGGCTAGATAGAACGCTAGTGGAATGGAAATGGACTGCAGACTGGACTGGGATGGGACACGGCCGCGTAGGCGGCCGTGCACTGGTACATTATCAAGTAAAAACCAAAAATATAGACGCTAGATAGAACGCTAGTGAAATGGACTGGAGGAGACTGGACTGGGATGGGACTGGTACATTATCAAGTAAAAACCAAAAATTATAGACGACACAAACTCCTATTTCAAACTACACATCCACAGAGTACAGATTTTGCAGTTTGCTCGGCCTGTGCAAAAAAAGCTTAAAAATATCGTTTTGACATGAATCGTATCGCTCTATGTGCCGATATAAGTTCAAATATCGTTTTAGGCGATACGATACGTATCGTTTTTCAAATATCGTATCGAGATATCGTATCGTCCCTCGCGTATCGCGATATTCCGATACGATACGATACGTATCGTACATCACTATTCGGAATCCATGTTGGCAGTCATCAAATGTACCATTATTTTCAAAGAAGCATACCAGTTGGTTATAAACAACCTTTTCATAGATTTTTGAAATTGAAGGCAGCAAAGCAATCGGTCTATAGTTTGATACTGTTTGTCTGTTTCCTTTTTTGAATAGCGGTTTTAATTTTGTTATTTTGAGTTTGTTAGGGAAAATTCCTGATATCAAAGATGAGTTAATGAGATGAGTTATTGGTTTAAGTAGGACTGATTTCGCTTTTTTAAAAAGAACCACAGGAATACCATCGTAGCCAGCACTATAGGAATTGTTTAGACTTTTAATAATTTTATCAATGTCGCTCTCATCAACAAAGCTAAATTTAAAGCTCCTTTTATCTAAAGGAAGTACAGGATGCAGTGTGTCATCAACATTTTTTTGGAATGTATTTATATTATTGAAAGTTTCAGTTTCTTTTACAATATCTGCAAAATAATTTATGAATTGGCCACAGACCAGGGAAGGGTCAGAACATACATCATTATTTACTACTAGGTTTATATTATGATTATTAATAGTTTTGGCTCCTACTTCAGAGTTCACAATCTTCCAAGTTGCCTTATTAACATTGTCAGAACTACCAATTTTTCTTTTATAATACTGTTTTTTTGAAGAAAACAATTTCTTGATCAAAAGTGTCATCAGTTTGATCATTATGATTATGTTTCAATATAGTGGTGCATATTTTAATGTGAGATTATGATGACCAAGCACCTGCAAAATTTGATAATCTCTGTCTTGTTGATAATTTTCATTCATCATTCATTTTGAGACAGTATGACAATATGCTTCAAATGTTGAACCAATTGCAAAAGCATGAAAACAGCGGGCCTGTGTGGATGATGGGTTAGGAGATGTGTGTCAAACAAGAACCAACTTATTTATATTTAGGTTGATGACCAGCAGTAGTCAGTGAAGGTCTTTTACACAAATATAATAAGTAGCAGAATAATTTGAAAGAACCTTGAAGAAAAAACTATGAGCCTTATCCAGTGATAACTCCTCAGTTCAAATCATAGAATCTGTAGCGGAGCAAAGGGCTCTAGAAATCAGAAGATTGCTATTTTGATCCTGGCAGCACTAACACTTTACAAGTGAAAGTGCAAAACTCGAAATCCCCTAAATGTTTCTGTATAAGCTGGGAATCTAACCCATTCTCCTCTAAGTCCAGGATGCTCTTTGGCTAGCAGTACCATTGACTATTAGATACTGAAGTTGTATTAATAGTCAAAAGCAGTACGCAGGATTCAAGTAAGAAATTAATCTTTCTAATTATTACAATTTATTTTAGTGTTATTGCTGACATTAAAGTACAATTACAAGCTCTGATTACTAACCTGAGTGGTTTTATTGACTTTTCCGAGGAAGGAGAAGATAAGCCCGTCAGCAGCCATGGCGTACATGCATCTAGGCAAGGCGAAGAGTGAGCCGAGCAGTGTAGTAGTCATGCCACACAACGCTCCCAGCGTGACGGCGTAACGCACCCAGGGTAGGTTGAGAGTAGTGAACGCCTCAGGCAGGGCGGCCGTAGGGCTGATCTGATCGTAGGGGACCATCAGCGTGAGAGCAGCACCCACCAAGATGTAGCCTTCACAGAAAAATGTTTGTCACAAGAATGGAATTTGCCTTGAAAACAGCTTAGTATTTTTTTTGTGTCCTACCATCAAGTCGGACGCTATAGGCTCTAGCCAGGAATCGTCACATTACTCCAGGCTAAGCCTAGAGGGTCGGAACATTATCACTTAAATAAAATCCATCACTGTTTGACAGGAATGAAACCCTGGACCTTGTGGAATAGTCCTGTGACTATTACATGCAAAAAATGTCTGCAATAAGTTTTTAAATATCAAATACTGATTTTGTGTACTATTATACTGCTCGACGTTGTGCCGAACACAATATTGCCTCTGTAGGAGAAGAAGCATTGAGAGGAGCGCTCTACTTCAACTCTTATGTTGCCTCAAGTCAGATATCAACCACTCCACGTACCTATGCAGACTAGAGTCATAGAGGTGATGGTTGCTATAGGAATGGAAAAAGCTGGGTCTCGAGCCTCTTCTCCGGAAGTAGCGATGCTGTCAAAACCAACGAATGCGTAGAAACACGTTGCAGCACCGGCCACCACCCCTGAGAGTCCGTAGGGTAGGAAACCTCCCTCTAAAAATACAACATTTGCGGTTAAATTACAGTTGTTTGATAACCATGACAAAAGTAGGGTAAAGAATGGTGAACGGTAAAATGATCAAGTGTCACCTTTCAATCACCAATTGCATACAATATTCTTTTGAATTGTTCAAAACCAGACAACTATCGTTCATTGAGCTATTGAAGCTAAAGTATATGAACTTTGACCATAGTTGGTTACAGAACTTTATCATACATGCTCCATTCATCTCTGTTTTTAAATGTACCCTGATTAGTTTAATCTTCACATACATCTGTTTTTCTATTATCTTTGTACATTCAAATTAACTGACCTAATTCCAGTCCCTTCCAAAATTACTAAGGGAGATTCAACAATAGTTTCCTGGTAAAAGGTGTTTTATCCTGTGTGATTCACAGAGACTGTTTCACATCCCAAATAAGAGGTGAAAAAAATGGTGTGGCTAAAATAATGTTAGAGCCGAAGAAGAACACACTCAGGGTATGATGAAGTTAATGAAGTTATTAAAAGTTGGCATGCCAGATAACTTCTTTATAAAATAGCATGAATAGAAAGTGTTATTAGGATGTAAGGCTCTAGCCAGAAACCGTTTTACATATACTTCAACCTTCATACTAGAGTATTGTAGCATTACCACTTAGATATCATTAATTTGTAATAATATTAGGACCACTCTATCACGCTACTGCGCTAGATCAGGTGTAACTTACGATCTAGAGTCCAGTTGTCGATGTTTGCGTAGGTGAAGCCCACTGCGATGACTAGTGTCATGACAGCTAGGTTGACGAGGGTGAGAAGACTGTTGACAAGAGCTGATCCCTTTACCCCAATAGCTAAAAATAACATTGTATTTGCTTTATTGGGATTTAGGAAACAAACATTTAAGTGTAGTGTTTTTGAGATAACATGTGAACAAGAACAAATTAGGACTTGTAAATCATTGATTTAAATAATTAGAAAAGACTAGTTCTGTTGAAAATCTTAAGCACATGTTATTTATTAGTTTTACGTTAGTGGAGTTTTGTTACAGCGAGGCTTTGACACTTTTCAGTAAAAGCGTTAAATATTTTGAGAAGAATTGACTTCAGCTGATCCATATCAAATGATAAGGGGGTTCTAAAATCTTTGTTTTTGACAACAAAATATTTCCCACTTCAACACCTACATGTTACTTTACCATACCTCGCATCTAGCTTCTCAACACTTTTCATGTCCATAGTTCCACTACATATGAAAAAGTGTGTGTATTTGTCAGTTTTGTTATTTTTCAGTAAATTCTCATCCTTGTAGTTTCTACAGTTATTTTCTTCACTTGATAACACACTCAGATTGTCAGAAACCGCACAATTTGTATTGTTTATTATCCCTAAATTGATTGTTTGAACCTCTAAAGCAAATAACAATTGCACAACTTTTTCCACACAATTGTACATACATAGGAATCACTCACCTAGGATGCAAGTGTAAGAGATACAAACGGCAAAGGCAAGGAAGTCCGGGTAGCGGCCGAGCAGTTGTTCGTGGAGTTCTCCTACAGTCTCAATGGTGTAGTTGCTGATAACACCTCCTAGGATGGAGTCTATGTATCCACTCCAAGCTCGGGCCACAGAGGCAGCTCCTAAAGGACACAGAGTAACAAGATTAGTTGTCTGGAATATTACTCTATGCTCTTTTTGCTAGAGGGCCTTGGTCTTAAATTGTTGATCTGAAGGTTGCTGGTTTTTGATGGTTCGAAGCTGTACCATGGTTACTGGTAATTATGGTTGGTATTGAGTATGTATACTTTATTTCCCTGAGTATTTTTTGGAGGAATAAACATTATTTCATATATACTGATTGTTTGGTTAGTAAAAGTGAGTTTAGACAATGTTAAGCATAACACAAATCCTCAGATGTGCAGAAACACACGTAGAGTAAAAATAATAGCATTTGCGCTAATCAATAATTACCATACACTAATGTATTAACATCTAGTTTTTTATTATGATTTTGTTTGTATATCGCTTACCAATCATGTGTTCAAGAATGATATTCCATCCGATGACAAAGGCCCAGAACTCTCCAACGCTGACGTAAGTGTAGATGTAAGCTGAACCAGCCTTTGGCACTCGTGTTCCAAACTCTGCATAGCACAGGGCTGCGAGCATGGATGTCATGCCAGCCAGGATAAAAGACAAGATAATGCCAGGACCTGCCAGATCTCTGGCAACTGTGCCGGTCAAGACATAGATGCCAGCTCCCACCATGTGCCCAATACCTGTAAACAACATAATGTCATATTAAGACAGTAAGACATATCAGTCAGAACATAGCCAGTTCTCAACATGCATCTGGTATTTTGTTCACCTACGACGAAACGATTCATTTAACAGCATTGTTTACTTACTTAACAGTATTGTTGTTTTACTACTTTACAACACGAGTAACGGACCAATGAGGACCAATGGTTAGACTAATACTTACCCAACAGAGTGATGTCGAAAGTGTTCAGACAACGTTTCAACGGAGTTTCCATGTTGTCATCGGCAGAACTGAGCTGTTTAGTTCTGTTCATTTTTGTGCAGAAGCCTGAGAAAACATGGCCCAGAATCTTGTGCCTGGCCCCTGGCATCTTGCTGCTATTGAAATAACCAAATACCGGTATTAAAAATTGTTATATTGTCAAACGGTAAAAATATGATGTAACTAATTGAAAATAAATTTATTCCATACACAAAATTTGAGAAACATACACTATACACATGTCAGAAAAATTGTTCAAAGGGTGTCTTGAAGTTTTTTATATTGTTGGTCCATTACAAATTCCCTTTCTTTTTACCAGTTAGATGTTATGTGATATAAGGAGTTATTTTCTTAGGTGGTCTAGCAGATGGTTGTAGTACAAAAGGCTCCTTTGTCCGATTTTGTGATGATGTGATGGGAGAACAACGTTTGTAGCATTCCACATGTTGTCTGTGTTAATTAATACATTCATCAAGTAATTTTATAAAAAAATATTACTAAGCTCACTATCAGAATGTTAAGATAGTCTAATTGTGACACCTCCCCCTTTAAGGAGCTTTTGAAAAATACTATTTATTCACAGTTCAGGAAAGCAACTGTGCTGCAGGGAAACAGGGAACATTCCTTCGGTAAATACAGTTTGTGTTGGGATCCAAATAAAAAACCCTTCGTTTATCCATAGTCTATGGTTTATCCTCTATTTTACACGGCAGTTAAAAGCAACAAGGCAAATATAGAGAAAATGCCAGTAAAAATCTGATAAACGACCAAGATAAATGCATGACTTAGTCTAAATTTAGACTTGGTCAAACCGTTCCGGAAATGCAACAATGGAATTGAAATTTTATGTTCAAGAACGAAGAAAAAGAAACAACTTGTAGCATAGGTCATAAAGAACAGCCAACTTGTACCAGTTGTACCATACTGACAAGTCGTCTGACAGGGCTATTAAAGCAGGTAACGCTTTGATGTAATTGTTGGACCATTGATTATATATCTTAAGGGAGATATATAATCAATGGTTGAACGATGTAAAATCAATCGCAAACGCCTTCAGCAATACGTTTAGTAATAAATCAAAATTTAGTAATTGCTTCAAAGTTTATTTTTTTTTATTAGGTGATGAAAACATCAACTTAGCAATGTCTCGTCGCATGGGATCTGGGGTTAGGTACAGTAATGTAATAATTTGTCGAGATTTTTTACTAAGTGGTGGTACGATATTAAAGTATTTTACATCGCATACGTAAATTTAAATACAGATACTTAAAAGATTCTGGATGTATTGCAGTTGCAATGATTGCATTGTTCTTACCTATTGTACAAACGTATATTTGTACCTCAAAAATGCATTTTTAAGATTTAAACATACAAAATTATGTTTAATATCACATATTAGGCTAATTATTGATCACGTGTTTAGTTTGACATAAAACATAGCCAACACTAATGTACGGGAATTAACAATTAAAATTGCATTTAAAAGTATTGGTACTAATAATGCTAAAAAAGATTATAAATAAGTGAATATCGTGTTACACCACAAAACGGTTAAATATTAATTTAGGATTAAAAAATCATACAAAACATACACAATCGTACTCCCATTAACAATTAAATAAAACCTCAATTTGCTGGTTTCCTTACTATAGAAAAAAAGACGGTGGAAATGTTTTATTAAAACGTAAAATGGTTTTAGTAACGAAACTGATGTAAATGTTACGCTAACCCATCTTCATTTGTTTAAAATTTTCAATATAAAACCAAAGGCCTAACTAAATTTCGCCGTCCTTAATATCAACTGTAAAAAGTAAGTAGGTGTTTAAGTACCGATATTTAAAATAAATAAATAAAATATTAATTTTTGTTGCTCCAAATGTATAGATTTTCTTTAATTACAAATACAGTATACTTAAAAGTGATATCCAAAAACTTCCACTGAATTTAATTGATCTTGCGTAGTCTACCAATTGCCAAAAAAATTATATATTCTTTGTTCCTATATTTCAACTAAAGCATTAACCAATATTATTTTCTTGTCCCAAACCTTATGGAATAAACACTTAAAGCATACAAACGCACAAAAATCCAACAACCTTTTCCTTACACTACTAGCCACCATATGGTAATCCTTAATGGTTTTCAGAAATCCGTTTCGGTCAAAACTTCAACCTTTTCATACTTGTTTCCTGTTCAGGACCAGAAAATGACCTTATGTCCTAGGATATAATATGAATACTCACCTGTTAGTAGATTATCTCAGTGATAAGATGTTTTATCACCCGCCAGGAATGGTGACTGTCAATGGAACCGCCGGAGTTTGCGCGGGAAAGGATGATCGATCAGACAGCCGGTGCTAAAAATAGCACCCATATGGATAATGACAATGAGGTAATTGTATTGACAATATCCAGAGTATCCTCCTGGAATATCTAATCCACTTCTTTTAACTAAGTAAAATTACAAATTTGTATTAAGTAAATGTTGAACGTTAAGTTATATTGGTAGACAAGTGGTCGGTAGATGAAAAAGTTGATTCAACCATACTAATTATACTAATAATCGTCTTGGTAACCGAGTGGTTGTGAAGCTCGTCTTCAAATATGAAGGTCAATAGTTCCAAGTGAGATCGTTGCTAATGTTACAAAATGCTGATGTTAGAATGATGATGATAGTAACATCAAACACGTCAAAGTAAAAAAATGTGTAACTAACTAATAAAATTTAAACATAATATGATACGTATAAGTTTTGTTAATCTGATTAGTTAAATAACTAAGCAAATTAACAAAACAAACGTATCAGCTGGCGCATATTTATAACAAATACAACACTCTTTAACTAATGAGCGTGCCCTTAGGGAGAGGGCTTATCAGAAAACTGATACTTTTTCCCGGGAGTTTCTCATCAAGTAATTTCATTTAATTAATGTGGTTGTTAGGTGTTTGGCTTACGGATATATACTGTCTGTTTGACACGCTCTTCGCTCAGGTAGATATTTGCGAATAGGAAAATAAATTTACCATCTTTTGGATATAGCAGTTACATTGGGATTAGAGTAGTGTACTGTTTAAATTTGTGAATATGGGCTTGGGAAAAGAGCTGTGCATTCAATGTTATTATAATGGGGGCGGGATCATACTAATAATATTCTGAATAATGTACTGTGCAAGAGTAAATATGTTCAACACTCTAGTCAACCACGCGTAACATAGTCTACATAACGACAACCTTATTTTTAAAATTGTTTTAGCCAAACCGGCTAAAACTCTACTACTCTATTTTATAGTCAAAGTCAATGGCTGTTTTTCATCTTAAAGTTTTATTATGCTTATCAAATTTGCTCGCTCAAGCGAAAATATGTATTCTTATTCTCATAGTATTCTTCATGTATTTACATTCTTATTCTCTACAGGTATTATCATTGGGAGCCTACCAGTAGACCGACAAGATACTTGGTCGTCTGGCCACTAGACCGTCTTTTTTAATTAAATAGATAAATACTGAAAACCAGTACGTCGACAAGTTATTTCATCGTCATTCCAGTTGATCGGCCTGTAAAACTAAATTATTATATACGAGAAACCTACTTGTCGTCAATCGACCCGACCGACTTACCACTTGCTCGTCTTTTAGGTGGGGATAGGGGGCAGAGTGGGAGGAGCTAACCGGGGATTACCCAGGAGTTTGAGGCGCTTCTCGTGGTTGAACCACGTCGCTCGAGGCTAGAAGCCAGTCTTGCCAACTGAAAGTAGCCTAGCTCCGTCGAACACTACACACTCGGCGTGTTTATACAGTCTGGAGTTTAGTTGACGTTGGCGCGCAATTCTAATGGATAGTTTCGTCGTTTCTATAGCAACCGTGAAGTGACCTCGTTCTCGCGCATTCCTCTGCCTTTGTATTATTTAATCTGCTTTGAAAGATAAGACTCGCTTATGTGCATTGACTATTGAATCAAATAACAATATCATTAGGGGGTTTTGATCGTTTGTTTGGATAAAACTACGTACCGTATATTGTAGAATTACATTTGTAGTGTGGTAATATGGTGTATATATATATAATTAATACGCTACATGAAACTTTGTCGGTTGAACTCCTCCGCCATTTCTTAACCGATTTTATCCATTGACATCTCATTGGAAAGAGCGTGTCGCGTAGATTTGCCAACCCTTGGGTTCTGCCCCAGTGGCTTTGAAAGTTCCCATGTTATCCTTATGAAGAACATAATTGTTTACATTTTGATCAGCTGTATAATTTAATTACTGTTATTTATTTTTCGATTCAATGAAACGCATTGAGTAAATTTATTTACTATTTGAGTTTGTGTAAACATAACCCCCAAAACGAAAACGGACCGTGTTAGTATGGTTGTATCTTGAATGTATATATTTATCGTTGCTTTGTGTCGCTATGACAGATCGTGTTAGCATGATTGTAACTTAAATTTGTGCATTTATCGTTGTTTTGTGTAGCTATAATTTGTTTATTTGTTGTTTTTTTCTTTTAAATGCCTCTGACGCGACAACAACGAAACATAGACAGGAGGCGTACACGTCAGCACCTGACCCTGGACAATCTCAACTATTAGGTTACGAATGCGAGCTAACACTACCCCTAAAAGACTTTTCGTTCTCAATTTGACCCTCTATCAATGACATGTGTTGCCTGTACAGCGAGGCATTTTGAGAAGGAGAAAACCAGCCGGAATGCTTAAGGTTTATCAATAACGAAGATCAGGGATTTAGGTAATCAGGGTCTGAGTTACACAATGGTAATATTTGAGTTGACTCTTTTTAAACTCTTTTTAAACTTTGAGTTAAACTTTTTTAAATATGACTGTTATTGGTTTTGAAATAACCCCTGTAATACTTTGCAATTGCTTGAATTTGAGCAACATGTACACTAGTATATATATAGGACCTGTGTATAATTTTGGGTAACATGGAGGTCAATTTACCTTGTGTAGGCCTATATCAAAAAAGTTTAATATCTTAAATTAATCCAAACGATTCATAGTAGCCAAGTACGGCCTTTGTATTGGTCTTCTTAAGTAATAAAGGATGGTAAAATAACTTCTGGCGATGTCTAGAGAGATTGTTATTTAGAACACATGAAATCCTTTCTATAACATAAATGTCGGCTAATCGTGTGATTCCAAGTACTTTCGCCTGATTTGAAACATATTTCCAAGCCCGTGCCAATATTACTTGTTTCTGTTCGAAAAGGCCATTGCTGTGAGAATATCAGGTAAAACTAACATAGAAACTTGAAAAATACAAATTAACAATAAATTGGCAACATAATAAATATGGAGCATTACTGATATCGCAAGTAAAACAAAAAAGACTTAACTATATAAGTAATCGCAATGGGAAGAGAACGCGGAAGAAAATAATGTCTGTATATGCTGTATATGCTGTGTATGCTAAGATCTGTATAGTCCTTGCCTTATATAATTGACAAATGCTTATATTTGCTCCAAAATAAAAAAAATACCAAACCCTTCAAATATTTAAGTTGACGGGAGCGGGACCTACCACTTCTAAAGAACGCCACCGTGTCTGTCATCCCTATTCTCTTACTTAAGAACACCCCTAAAAACCTTCACCGAATATGTAAGGTACTATCGTAAAAATAACGAGGAACTTATATAAATCAGTTTTAATTTACAATTCTCTGGACGTACATCACTGTGAGAACCGAAGCCTCGGGGAAAGTCCACGGGTGCGGGACTTGCCACTAGGGCGGTCAATATCTTCAAAAGAACGCCACCGCGTCTGCTTTCCCTAACTTAACAACACCCTTATAAGCCCTAAATGAATAGAGACTATCATAAATATGACAAGCACCTTTTACAACTTCTTTCCATTTCCAATCAACCTGACCTGTCCTTCATCGGCGTGAGAACGAAAGTATTGGGGAAGTCCAGAGAAGCCTAGAACTGCGTAGATGAAAGAGAAGCCGCGTTGGATGACCTTGCCACCCCTTCGCATACCTTCATCAGCAATATCTCATAGTGACTTTTTACAACGCAATTTTTGTTGTCAATTTGTCTGATCTGAACAATTTAAATATTTCAAAATTAACTAAGCGAATAGCTGGTTATAATTGATTATTTTTATTGGTATTTGTGTAGCCACAATATCCGGATTGAGCGTAGTAAACGAACATCAACCAGGACGTGTTTGATTGATGCGAGCGAGCTCATCTTGAAAATGAAAGAGCATTTGACATTAAACCACAATAGGACCACATGGTATATTGGATTAAAATTTGCACTGGTTATCAGTGTTCGTTGACTTTGGAAATAAGTCAAACGTCACAGTGTCTAATGCTATTCAGCAAACATTCCACATAATTAGTTCCACTATTCGATTAACTTGAAATGCTTACAGTTCTTAATAACGCTGCCATTGATTTTTATCGTATTAGCTTATCTAGCCAAAAATGACAAAAGTAAGATATTATCATCATTGTGTCACGCACAGTTTAAATAGACACAGTTTAAATTTCGATCATAGTTAGTTGTAATAAACATTATGAATCGGCATATTTTGGGGTAGGAGTTAAGAATTTTATATTTGAATTTCAACGCAAAAAATCTTTTAAAATCAATATTTGATTTTCTACGTAATTTTCTCTCTACAGCTTAAACCATACATTTTCGAAACTTTGAAAATACCAAAATCGTATTACTCACCTACTAAAACAAACATTTCGACATACGGATCAATTATTTGTGCAATCCGTTCCTTAATAAAAACCTATATATTTTCATAATCGTCGCGCGAAATATAAGAATTTGTATTGACCTTATGGCTACATTATCGATCATAGTTGTAATAAACATTATGAATCGGCATATTTTGGGGTAGGAGTTAAGAATTTTATATTTGAATTTCAACACAAAAAATCTTTTAAAATCAATATTTCATTTTCTCCGTAATTTTCTCTCTACAGCTTAAACCATACATTTTCGAAAGTTTAAAAATACCATAATCGGATTCCTCACCTATTAAAACATACATTTTGACATACGGATCAATATATTTGTACAATCCGTTCCTTAATAAAAACCTATATATTGTCATAATCGTCGCGCGAAATATAAGAATTTGTATCGACCTTATGGCTACATTTTCGATCATAGTTGTAATAAACATTATGAATCGGCATACTTTGGGGTAGGAGTTAAGAATTTTATATTTGAATTTCAACACAAAAAAATCTTTTAAAATCAATATTTGATTTTCTCCGTAATTTTCTCTCTACAGCTTAAACCATACATTTTCGAAACTTTGAAAATACCAAAATCGTATTCC